GAAGCACCTGGCTCCTGGCTTCCGATCCACAAAGCGCGCCGACTGTAGCGGCCATTTGGGGGGTGAACCAACAGAAGGAAAGTCTCTCTCTTTCTCTCTCTCTCTCTCTCTCTCTCTCTCTCACACTAAATCTCCCTGTCAAAAAAATTAAAAAAAATAAAACAAAGAAAGTCAATGAGTAGTTGATGATGACTTGTGAATAAGAAAACAGCAGGATTAAAGGAATACTTTAGAAACACTATACCTTAAAAGGTTGGGAAGGGGTGAAAAAGAGGGGTTAGGAGTGTAACATATCACACACATACACACACACACACACACACAACTTTTTTGTTGATCATAGGAAGAAAGAGAAGGCTGGCCAGGGGGCTGCTTGCATTTTTTTGTTCATCTGCATTTCTTTTAAAGATTCAGAGACTGAGTGGCCAGCACTGGGGCACAGTAGGCTAAGCCTCTGCCTGTGGTGCCAACATCCCATATGGGCTCCAGCTCCCGTCCTGGCTGCTCCTCTTCCCATCCAGTTCTCTTTTTGTGGCCTGGGAAAACAGTGGAAGATGGCCCGAGTGCTTGGGCCCCTGCACCTGCGTGGCTGACCCAGTAAAAGTTCCTGGCTCTTGGCTTAGGATTGGCCTAGCTCTGACTGTTGGAGTCATTTGGGGAGTGAACAAGCAGATGGAAGACCTTTCTCTCTGTCTCTCCCTCTGTCTGTAACTCTACTCCTCAAATAAATAAATAAATATTTTTTAAAAATCCAGAGACTGAAGCATATCTAGAAGCAGAGACAAAAGAGCCAAAAAGAAAAGGGGACAATGAACAGTGTCCTTGATCAATATCACAGGAAAAGAAGTTATGCTTGGAAAGGAAAGACACCTGCTTCATGAGACGAGTAGGCAGGAAAGAAGGGAGAAGATACAGATCTATTTTGAAATGTTCAGGAGGGCTATTGAAATATCAGGAAGGCAAGGACTATACAGCACACAATCTCCAACTCAGATTTGGATTCAGGCTGCTCTCAGAGTTTAAAAACAGCTGCTATGTGTATTGAGTCAAGAGCAGCTCAGCAACCACACAGCCCCAGCGTCTCCAGGTCTGGGCTTGTCTGCAATATGTGTACATGTGCGCAAGCATGCCAAAAACTAGCGAGTAAAAAGGTAAGTTTATTTGGGTGCAAAAGAAATTTGAAATCCATGCATAAGGTTTTTTTTTTAATAATTCTTAATTTCCATGAACTTTTTGAAGAATCTTCATATGTTTTTAAAGTCCTTTAAAAGTCCTTTATCATTTGAGATGGTCCCTGACGTAAAATGACGTCATGATGTAAGCTGGGGAAAAAGGTGATCATTTGGAGCAACATAGTGAGGCATACAATCTCCAAAGAAAGAAACCTAAGCATAAGTCAAGCAAAGGGAGTGTGAAAGAGTAGTAGAATTTTTAAGCCACCCAATTTTCTTTGGGAGACATTAGGAGAAGTAATAGCAGGGTCCATGAAAGAGAAATGAATTTTAAAAATCAGACATTCTATGTTATATTAAAAGATACTTCTACATATTTTAATTTTATGCAGGAAAACCATCAAACTTAATTATATAGCAGATGTGAGTATTTAAACAAGGAACATGTGTGACTGAGAGATGACGTCAGTAATGTAGAAACCTAACCCTCTCACCTCTTTTCCTCCCACCATGGAGTTTCTTAGCTATTGACAGTCTAAAATTATGTAACAGAATTGCAAATGTGCATTAAGAATGTGTCTCTGACCTTTTAAATTAAGAAATAAATTTAGCATGGCACCTCAGACAAGCCCTGGTTAGCCTAATAGGGCGTGTAACGAACATAGGCTGAAATCAGAAATTAGAAATGTAGAAGTTCTCTGATTAATGAGCTTCAATTATTGTCTGGATGATTTCTTCTCACATTAGATTCCAATTACCCATTCCCAGGTGAGCCTTGAAGACCTTATTCATTAAACACTCTTTGGGTTCCATTTTTGTTTTGTTGAAAATATATGCATATGTATGTGTGTGTGAGTGTGCGTGCGAGTACAGATACCAAACAAAGCTATCAGAAAATCCTCACCAGAAACTGAGAATGATTTCCTTATGGCTCAGGAGATACTGTCAAGTTCCCTTTAAGATTTACTTAGATGGCACTCAAGTAAGATTCCCATATGGAATTATTCCCCACACAGGAGCCTGACCTGGGAGAAGCTGAACAAAGTAGACTATTTACAAACTCCCAAAGCAGGGGGCTGTTTTATATTTCTCCCACCCTGGATCTAATTCCATTGGTAAATACAGCACATATTAAGTTATAAAGCATAATTATTAAAAGGCCAAGAAGTAGCACAAAAGGTCGACTTTTCTGACACTGAAAGGTCAAGGCCAGTAGATGTGGCTGTCTGAGCAAACCTGGAATGATGCTTCACTTTCTGGCATCCATCCATGGGGTGCCAGGCTCATCAGGGCAGTCAGAGACAGACTGATCCCAGCAGGTGGATGCATTACTTAAAGACATAGTTTAAGAACCATCTGTGTTCTGAAGGGCAGCCTTCTGTGAGATAACCTATAGGCAATGTACCTTTATGCAAATAAGGAGAATACAGAATGTAGTAGTTGCAACAGCCCCTTAGGATATGTCTGTGGAGCACACTCAAAACAAGCCCTTAAATAACACACAGTCATTGGTTCTTGGTTGAGTGAGACTTAGTTGGTTTTCTTCCAAGGAGGACGGAGTTTTCCATGAACCAAAACATTATTTAATGACTATCATGAAAAAGGAATAATTTTGCTTGGGCGGAAATGGATACCATTTCTAATTACTGTTTAAGCCATTTGTATTTTGTTAATTGACAAAGCTTCAAAAACAAGCCAGTTATTATGGACAGCCCATTAGGACACCTTGCTTTAAGCTTATTGTGTCAACTATGTTACTTGGGATCAGGTCCATAAAAAACAACAGAACACTCATTCAACAGAAAGATGTGTGTTAGGGGCAGTAGGAGTATCCGTCTCTCAAGGCAGGTCATTGTGTAATATTGGTGAAATAACCCCAGCTCTCAGACCATACTTGGGGCTTTTGGAGTCACCATTTCACTAGATGGACTGAGTAATCTGTTTTTATACAACCACCATTTGAACAATGTTTCCTTTCACACAGCTTTTTTTTTTTTTTTTTGACAGGCAGAGTGGACAGTGAGAGAGAGAGACAGAGAGAAAGGTCTTCCTTTGCCGTTGGTTCACCCTCCAATGGCCGCCGCGGCCGGTGCGCTGTGGCCGGCGCACCGCGCTGATCCGATGGCAGGAGCCAGGAGCCAGGTGCTTTTCCTGGTCTCCCATGGGGTGCAGGGCCCAAGCACCTGGGCCATCCTCCACTGCACTCCCGGGCCACAGCAGAGAGCTGGCCTGGAAGAGGGGCAACCGGGACAGAATCCGGCACCCCGACCGGGACTAGAACCCGGTGTGCCGGCGCCGCTAGGCGGAGGATTAGCCTAGTGAGCCGCGGCGCCGGCCTTTTTTTTTAAATTATATGAGGAAAGTAGAATGAAGTAAAGTACAGCTTTAGAGGAAACCTCCCTAGATCCAAATTTCATCTCCACTGCTTGCTGGTTTTGTGACTTAAGTTATTTAACCACTCTAAGTCTGGTTTCTCATTAATAAAATAGGACATATTGGCACCTTCTCTATGATGGTCTCAGACTTCTATGAGGATCTGAGTTTAGTTCAGTGCCTGGCACATGATTGTTCCATAAATGCTTGTCATTTATATGCTTATATAAAGAATTTACACTTCCAAAGTACATAAGGAAAAATCAAGGACCCATTTTATGTGTTTCCTTGTAATGCCCTACCATGAGAAATATTCTTTGTGCCTATCCTGTTTGGGACACATAGTAAATATTCAAAAAATGTTTTGAAGTAAATTAGAGAAACAGTTACTTTAGAGAAAAAAGTAGGTGAAAAAATTGCTTTCAGATACAAAAGCACTGTGACAAATAAAGAATCATGTTATAAAACATCTGAAAAATACTGTAAATAACAATAACAATGATAGTTTGTTCAGCTTTGTGGAAAAAAAATCAACAACACAGCTTAATGAAATTCAAACATTTCCAAAGAATTAAAAAGATATTTTATAGGTTGAGCTGGCCGATGGTACACAATTCCTGGAACACATCAGTGTAAATAAAAATTTCTGGAGGAAAAAAAGAAAAATGCCATCAGGCACTATGAAAACGCTCGAGAGAGAGAACACCCCAGAAATCTATTTTTGTGAATTTTAAAAACACTGGGGACTGGCGCTGTGGCACAGTGGGTTACCCACATGGGCACCAGTTCGAGACCCAGCTGCTCCTCTTCCTATCCAGCTCTCTGCTATGGCCTGGGAAAGTAGTACAACGTGGCCCAAGTTCTTGGGACTCTGCACCCACGTGGGAGACCCGGAGGAGGCTCCTGGCTTCTGGCTTTGAATCAGCTCAGCTCTGGCCGTTACGGTCATTTGGGGCGTAAACCAGCAGAATGGAAGACCTCTCTCTCTGGCTCTCTCTCTTTGTAACTCTTTCAAATAAATAAAATAATTCTTTAAAAAAAAATGGGGATTTCAAAATGAAATTTCTTCAGGAAGTGTTTTTGAATTACAGCAAACTAAGCAACCTCAACATATTTTTTTTCCTTTGGCATTAAAAATGTAATCTATACTTTCAAATTTTTACTTTATTTAGCAAAGTGAGTAATGAGGAAATCCTGTTTGAGATGTCCTAAGGAAACATTGAAAAGCCAATTTCCAGTGTTGGATAAAAATCAAACCAATTTCTTAATTATTATGGTGCATATGTGTATAAGTTTCTATGCCTAAGTCTTAAGCATGTGTGCATTTGTGTTTGTTACTAATTACAACAGAATCAAGGATTCAAATGGCCCTTGCCTCTTTATAATACTAGTCTTTTAGCTGACAGTCTTTTATCCCATATAGATTTTCTCCCAATGAATAATTCAGACTCAAACTGCATATTGATAACTATATTTTAAACCAAAAAATCCCTCACATAATAAATACATTTTATGCACATTAACTTTGAATTTACTTCAGAAAGCTATTTACAATATAAATAATTATAAATGGGAACACTTTGCAAGATATCATTGACATAGCTAATATCTTCTACTTTACATTCCAAAGTAAAGTTCAAAGTACAGTTTTATACTACAATGTTACTAAAAACTATACATTGCAAGATGGTATTTGAAATATTGGCAATCAATATCTTCTTTCACAAATATAGTCCTTTTTATAGCATGTCAGTCAAAAAACAAACATAAAATATTTTATCTTTATGAAGTGCCTACACATATGTTTCATTTTTTGAAATATTTCCCTTTGGAAAAAATGGAAAAAAAAGTTACAGTACTTCTAAAATTTTTTCCATGCTGATTTCATTTCTTCTGAAATGTAAACACACCAGGGTTGTTGGGTGTAAATTCAACTGTGAATAAATGTGTTCCAAATCAGCAAATTGGGACAAACTTCCCCCATTTAAGTTTATGAAAGCAAAGTCCCATGCAGCAAAATTGCAATAAATAAAACTACAAATGTTTGGTTTAAAATTATTAATTAGGATTTCTTGTGTGAACCATCATATTTATATATATATGTAAACCATCATATATATATATATACACACACACATATATAAAGTTGGATATGGCACGTTTTCATGAACCCTCAAGGCAATATAAAAATCATGCTTTTCTGTTTGTGTCCTTTCTGCATACAGCCCTAGAGAAGGAACTCTGAACAAACTCCTATTCAGAAACGAGTACAATCTCACCTTTTGAGTTAAGCACTACCCGTACAACCCTGTGCACAAGAAATGAGCACCACAAGGAAATTTTCCCCTAGAAAACTTTCTGAAGGTATGGTACCTTTTGCATGTGTCCATAGCTGTTCTGTTACTCATTTAAAACTTAGAATAATAATGATCGTTTTATACATAATCTGTTTCACAGTAGGAACCAGCCAATAGGTTTTGCTATGTCAGACTTGAATCCCTATTCACAAAAACTTGACATTTACATGAAAGTTGAGTCACTTATTTGAGGACTGTAGGATTTACATTCTTTATTAAGTTATTCAGAAAATAGGACATATTTCCACATCCACGATATGAGTGAACCAGGGAACCCAATCTGAGCATTCAAACTTCTTAAATCAGAAAGACTATATTAAAGTGTAAGTTTTTCCACTAGGTAAGGTGAGCGACCTCCAAATGGTCAAATATTCGGTTTTCCAAATATTAGCACTGTCACTCCCAAATACAACTAATAGAATTACATTGAATATTTTAGTAATGTTTTATTCTTTAAAGAGAGAGAGAGAACTATAAAATATCAAACCTAGATTTAGAATCTGCTTTGCTGTACTGTCTTCTAATCAAACTTATTTGGTCTGGATCTTTAGGCAAAAAAAGTCTCTCAATTTATTTCAAACTATCTATGCATATTTTCAACATGATCTTGTTTTGGAATTAATCATCCAAGGAAGGGAGAGAGGGAAGGAGGGAGGAAAGGAGAGGCGGAGGAAGGGAGAGGGGGAGGGAAGGAGGGAGGGAAGAAGGGAGGGAGGGGAAAAAAAAGAAAAAACAAAATGGACCATATTAACCTTTTCTAGAAGATCCCATTAAAGCTTATTTTAACTGGGATTCTTTGCCCAGAGGCAGCATGTGGCAGCAGAATGCAGAGAGAATTAAGAACAGTACCCAGTGGAAATATTCAAGCCCTATAAAATATAATCAGGAAATAAGTGGGCTTTCTGTATAAACACTCGAGGCAAATCATTTATTGTATCCTGTCTCATTTTGAATGTCACAATCAGCACTCTTATTTATCTTTTATCAGGCAATTACGGTTTAGAAAAGCTAGAACATTGTATTAGGCAGAGTTATGTCAAAAGACTTGTGCAGCTGAAGCACACCAAAACACCTGGCCTGTAGTGCATGTGAAGTTTAACACTCTGCATCCAAAAAAAATAAATCAAATCGGTATATTCTCAACATGCAAGTTCACAGAATTTTCCCAAAGATGATTGGGGGACTTTTTATTTCTTTGGTCATCCAGATTTTTTAACTGGGTACAGCAAGTAAAATGATAAATAAAATATTCTTACTATTACTAAAAAGCATGAATTTTATACCATCTAACAAACTGATCCATATTGTACCAGTATTACTGACATAACATAGCACATTTTTATGAGTCCCCAAAGTGGTATAAAAAACATACTTCTCTCTCAATTTCGGTCAAGTTTCGTGGTTCTCAATATTTTAGTAGCAAAGTTACAGAAATAAAAGATTAAAACTAAAGCAAATTGTAGTTTAATTTAAGTGATTGAATTATCAGGAATTTATAATTTATTTTATATCCCATGTTTTCAAAAAGCACAGATGATATTTTCATTATGAGAAGATATGTTCCTGCACAGAATAATGTAGATTGTAAAAATATTTTTACACATCCATGTGTGTATTAAGAAGGTGCCTTGTCATAAAATGTTAACTTATTTTGAGTCATTTTATAATAATCATGCTATGTTGCAAAAAATGTAAACTATATAATACTGTGAGCATTATATGTAAGAAAGCTGCTACTATAAAATTATTGACATGTATTAAATTTTAAAAATTATTCCATATTTAAATAGGGTTAAACTACCTTAAGTTTTAATCACGATGTAAATTAGTTAATTCTGTTTCCCCTTAAAAATATTGGCCACACCATATTCTGATTACTTCCTTTTTACAGAGTTCATAATCTATTCCTTCTACCAATGAATTATCCTCCCTTAAAAAACTCCACTGAGCCGGAGCCATGGCTCACTAGGCTAATCCTCCGCCTGCGGCGCCAGTACTCCAGGTTCTAATCCCAGCTGGGGCGCCGGTTCTGTCCTGGTTGCTCCTCTTCCAGTCCAGCTCTCTGCTGTGTCCCGAGAGTGCAGTGGAGGATGACCCAAGTGCTTGGGCCCTGCACCCGCATGGGAGACCAGGAGAAAGCACCTAGCTCCTGGCTTCAGATCGGTGCAGTGCGCTGGCCGTAGCGGCCATTTAGGGGGTGAACCAATGGAAGGAAGACCTTTCTCTCTGTCTCTCTCTCTCACTGTCTAACTCTGCCTGTCAAAAAAAAAAAAAATAACTCCACTGAAATCCTTTAATAACAGTCTTTTCTTTAGTATCGTCTTATTTTCCATGGGTCTGAAGTCTTCATTTTCTCCTAAAGGATCTGTGCCTGACACATTTGGTAGAATGTTTATCCATCAGTAAAATGCATCTGCATGGATTCCCTTTCCAAAATACTTCATATTATCCATCTACAGAATTCTGCAAAACTTTTCAGGTATTTCTAAAACTTTACTGCATGTTGCAAATTGATCAAAAATCCATTTTAAGTGTTCCAGGAGTTTCTCATAGATAATTTTCTCAAAAATTGCTGAATACTGTGCTTATATAACTTAAAATTTAGTTTTTATTGTACTTTGAACATTTTTGAAGCTATACATGATAATCAGTGACTTTGTCATGTACTTGCACTTTTTTTGCATGTACAGCACCAATGTTGCTTTGTCATACCCATGAAATAGTTATTTAATTTTATGTAGCCTCTTTCCTCGCATAAACAACCCAATAGTCATCTCTGATTATCATTCAGATTGTCACCTACATATGAACTGCCACATAACTGTGTTAAAGAATGAAAATACAGTACTAATCCCTGAGTGTCCAATGTCATGTTCTGTTTTTGAAATTATAAGTCAAGTTCTTCCAGTACATTCCCTTCCTTGTATATACCAAGAGTTTCAGGCATGGGACTCTGATATGTGAAATATCTCTAATCACTTCACTTTGTTTTGATTTCTAGAGAATAGTACATTAAATAAATCCTACTATTTTTCTTCTTCATTATCAGTTCCTACCACCTACAATTTGGTTGATCTTAGAAAAGTGACTGTACTACACATGCCTAAAAGAGCTCACATTCCTGCTTGAGTTACAAAGCATCTATACTTCTGTATGTGGGTAGAAAATTCAGAGCCACTCTTGATAACCCATAGCAGAGAGTTAAACAGTTAACTAGCTCAGTTCTGCTGCACCAGTGAACCACACACCATGAACACTAGAGCTGCCTTACAAACCAGGAAACTGGGGCTCTGGGTGTGGTGATTGCCTACATCTACAGGCACAAAGTCAAGTCACAGGTAGGGTCAGAACCAGAACCCAGAAATCTCAGCATCCAGTGCACCACCCTTTCTCGTACAACACACAGATTGTAAGACCAAGTTTGCTGTTGACATTGTTTACAAACAATAAGGAAAACAAATGCTTAGCCTGCTCCTCAGTCACAGTATTCCTCTCGTCCTTTTAACCACTTGTCTGGCAGCCTCTGCTTTTATCTTAGATGCTCTCCTGAGGCTTTCCACATGTTGTCACACTGGCACATCTGTGCTTTGAAATGTTCTCAAACACTTAAACTGCTGTCATGTAGCACTTCACTGATTTTCCTTCATTATTTTTTGCACTTTTTTCTTGGTGAATTGGTTTGAATTTTTTATTTGGCTGGTTTATAAGCAAGCCTCAAATATGTTCTTTACCTATTCTGAGCCTTAAATTGTTTTTTGGGGAGATAGCGGTTCATTCCATTCTTTCTCTGGCCTCTCCATCTTCACTGAACTACTTTCAATTGAGCACACCAGGTTTTTGATGTGTCTCCCAACATCTCAATGCTTTCACTTAGAAAAACCCTTACTTCTATGTCAGTGCAATCCTGGTCCTTGTCTAACTCAAAAGTAAGGTGAAAAATCACCACTTCCTGATTGCTTCTAATGGATACCAGGTGAAAAGTCATTCTTGCACTATATCCAGAACCATTTCTCTAATTTATGCCTGAATCAAATGAACTGGTTGGAGGGAAACCACAAAGGGAAAAAAAAAATCAGTTTACAAGATGTGTCTCTCTCTTTCTCAGTTATTTTGGGAGTGGAAATTTATTGAAGAGTTCAATGAACTAAAGAAAATTACACATTTTTGGTGTGTTTATGGCTAATTTTTTATACTTCTGCATGTAAAGTATACAGAGAAGCCTGTGAATAATCCTCTGTGTGGTTGAGTTTCACTGGATCACCACAATCTAATGTTGTCACTGTGTATACTCACTCCATCTACATGAGTATTTTTCAATACAAATTTATCTATGCTGGTTCTCATATAACTACAGAGACAATTTGTGCATTTGCTTTAGCTCCATTATCTGTGTATAACCCTGAATGCTAGTGCTATGTTTCCTTTCATTTCATAGGAACACATGTCAAATACCCAGAAATTTAAATTATCCTCTCTAACAATCTGTGGCATTGTAAATGCTGGTAATGGGGCATTAAACTATAAATATGTTTCAGAGACCCTAACAGAACAAAACATTTTAGAAAAACATCAGCTTCCATTGGTTATAATAACAGATGTTCCCTTGTGTCCTTGTGCTGGGTCTGGCTGCATCCTTAGATGGGAAGTTACATCAAAGTGTGAGCCATTACAGCCCAAGGAATAGTTTCTAATGGTTTCAGTGTCATATAAGTGCTCCAGGGCATATCCAGTTAATGTATAAGCATGCTTATCAAAATACTGCCGGTGAGAGCCAAAGCAGTTTGGAGAGACAGCAGGATGGTCTCCTGCTGTCTGATGAGGAGACATATCCGAATGTAGATAGTCTTTAGCTAGGATCAAACTGGATTTTGAAATGCGATCCGAGTTGGGACTACTTATCCGAGACAGTGCAGTGGGACTATTGTCATAGTCATTTTCATGGGGGCTCAGCATCTTTCCCTCTCTCTGCTGGATGTGGTCACACGGTGAAGTGTTGGCAAGAGCAGAGCCATGGCAGACTTCGCCTGTCGGTGGGGGCTGTTGGTAGTTTGCAAAACAGAGGGAGTGTTTTTTCCCAGCTCCATTAATGGATGCCAGTTGGTCTGGGGGAGCTTTCCTTAACTGCAACCTGTTCTCTTCTTCTTTAATCATTTGCTGGGTGGCTCGAATCAAAGTTTCAATTTTGCTAGGTTCATGTGGGCTACTTTGATATTGTTCAGTGCGGTATCGGTCACCTGATTCGCTAGCTGATCCAGGGTCCGGAGAACTGACCACACTGTCTTCATCCCAATGACCTCGTCCTAGAAATTAGAAGAAGTAAAAAGTAAATAGTCTTAACGTTCACCAAAAAAAAAAAAGTTATACATATTTCTTTTTATATTTGAAGAAACCTTGGGTCTTTCATTTTTAATATATGCTCCTATTTGAAACAGACACAGGCTTCCATTCCATGTCAATTTTAGTGAAATGGTAAAGTAAGCTCATACTTTTCTGCATACACATTATTGGACCTGTCCAACTGCAAATAATGAAGGAAAATATGCAGAATTTGGCTTATGTTATTTTATAGAGCATTATTATTTTAGATTGATGATTATAAAATGCTTCCAATGGGGTTTGAGGAAGACATTGATGTACAGGCTGAACTATTCTCTCAATTGCAAAAACATCACTTAAAATGTAAATATCACTTAATGTGTTTAAAGTAGGGCCAAAGTTCCAATGTTAGCTTTTAGAGTAATTGAGGGCTAAAAAATATATGTACATTTATATATGAATGGATAAACATATATATTGCCCTGAATTTTTATCAAATCTAGGAGTAAATATATAAGCAGGTAATAACATTCACATATCCTAAATGGTTTCTGAAATAGGTAAAGACTAAATTAATATAAACAAATTAAATAATACCTATTATGAACTGTAATGGAAGATCTAGTATGGAGGGATAGTGTATTCAAAATACATCCAATAAATACATTTTGCTCATGGCAGTCTGAAATCAATACAAAAGGCAAGAATAAAAACAGGTAAGGACTTATGAAGGCTGCTTCATGCAGCAGAGAAGCCCTGGATCACACTAGTCATTGCTTTCCTTTTCTGTTTCCTTCTTATTTTATTTCTAATATTTTCTCCCAGACCATGTAGGTTAAGCCAGGATTTTCGCTTCACTCCTTTCTTTGGCAAGCAATTGCCCTTTGCCCTGGGTTTCCATTACCCATCTACTGAACTGTTCCTCGGCTCAGAACAGGCTGTTTACTCAAAGTAAAAGCAGAAAAATAAAAAGCAAGAATGGGAACACATTAAAATTACTCATAGAAGGCACTCAGTGGCTGGGTGATATCTGGCAGGATAGCTTTATGATGAGGACAATATAGTATAGCACATTTCTCATCCTAAAGACAGGAACAGTAATATCAGGGCCTTCAGATCAATCCTAATGTCACTGACTTTTAATGAAATAGGCAAAGTTTCCAAAGTCTGCCTGGATCCAAGCCTGGAGTGGATAGAATGGGCTCTCTTTAACCAGTGTACCAGGAAACTAACACAGAAAAGCATTACCAACAAAGGGCTTTAACTGCAGTGCCCATTTCCATATGCTTGCAAAGCCATATAAGAATCCCAAGGCAAAAAAATCTGTGTATTGCTCCATCCTTTCCTCACGGGGGCATTGTGGTTTGTCTTAAGGATGGGCAAAGTTGGGGGTAGGGGATCACTGGCATTTCAGACCTAGAGAGGCTAAACATTTGTGATATGAGTGACACTCCCTCTTCCACCCATCACTTGCACCCTCATTGAGAATCACTCCTGTAATCTATAACCAAACCATCCCAAGCTACTCAAATTCACATCTGAAACATGAGAGCACAGAAGAAAATAATCACAAGAAATTTAAATACATGCATACTACAAGTTCAATAAACATATTCAATAATCTAACTCAATTTTGGTACTTTTTGATGCTGAAATGGAAATCATTTTTACTTGCCTGTCAAAAATAAATATACTTGGCAAACATTACCAAAACTAATACATTTATATGGATGAAGTTGGATTTTGAAAATCTCAGGGTTTAAGTTTCTGATTCATAAAGCAAAGGAGAAGCAGTCCCTCCGGTGGCACACCTTGGAATGTTAGAAATCTACCCGGGGGCCGTGCCGGTTCACCTGCTCTTACCATGGATCCTGTGCACCGAAGCGATGTGAGGCATGCTGTTTTCGAAGGCGTCTCTGCTTTCCGGGGAGGCCTTGGTCAGGGGCAAGGCTGCGCGAGAGCTCCACCAGGGCTCCCTCCCCGCCTGCGGCGTTCCCAGGAAGTACCTGCCTGCCTCACACCGGCCTCCCTCGCAAGCCTGGGTATGGAAATGCCTCTCCTCCACCAGCCTGGAATGGTCAAGCGCGAAGCCGTAGCAGAGGGAGCTGCGGTCTGAGAACTGTCTGTAGGCACAGGACGCGTCGTGCTGGGAGCCCGGCCGATCGCCGGGGTCCAGGAGCTGCGGAGAGGCTGAGTCGGTCATGGGACTTCCGCCCCACTGGCTGTCGTGATCCGATTCCGACCGTTCCGTGTGAAACCCCGAGTACTGGGACCGGGAGGAGAAAAAAGGCCCATTTCAAAAAGTCGATCAACAAAACAATAAATGAGAAACAGACTACTGTACATGCAACCGTAAAGTCATACTCACCTTAGGCAGCCAAACCAAGACTGCTCTAGCATCAGAGCTGGTACCCTAACTTGGAGTCCCCTAATTAATCACAATGAATTAAAAGAAAACTCTTTAGTCTGCTGAAAGGAGGAGATAAAAATAACAATGAACACTGACTGAAGTACTAGGCGTGGAATGAAGTGCTTTATGTGAATTATACTGGCTGTTTCTTGCAGTAACCCTTCAGTGGTGACATTAGTGTCCCCATCCTATAAACAGGGAAGCTAGGGGCTAGCACTGTGGGGTAGCAGGTAAAGCCACCGCCTGCAGCACCAGCATCCCATGTGGGTGCCGGTTCAAGGTCCAGCTGCTCCACTTCCGATCCAGCTCTCTGCTATGGCCTGGGAAAGCAATAGAAGATGGCCCAAGTCCTTGGACCCCTGCACCAGACCCAGTAGAAGCTCCTGGCTTCGGATAGGCACAGCTCCAGCCATTGCAGCAAATTGGGGAGTGAACCAGCAACTGAAAGACCTCTTTCTCTCTCTCTGCCTCTCCTTCTCTCTCTGTGTAACTCTGACATCCAAATAAATAAATAAATCTTTAAACAGGGAAGCTAGGACTTAACAATAGAAAGTGGTTTGCCCAAGGCTACATGCAGAATTATTAGCAAGTGATAAAAACAAAGAATCAAACCCAAATTCTTTATCACTGACCAAATGTATTATCAAAGAGAGACCAGAAAAACCACATATTTCATTTCTATTTAATCAGAAAAACAAAGCAAAACTAAGGTTCAAGGCACTAATGTGGTGAAAGCCAGTCTTTCATACTAGGCTGTTAGCCTTCTGAAGGCCAAGCTGTATATACTAAAGAATGGTTAATAAACGCTTACCTAACTCCAAGGCAATACAACTTTTGAAAAGTGTTACCCTAGATCAGTTACACCTATTCACTGGGATGTGCTTTGCCTTTCAGTTATGTGTGAGATCATCAGGACATGACAAACTCCCTTTCACTCTTGGTCCACCTTCAGCAAAAGGAAGAATCTGGACTCTTCCCACATCAGTGTAAACAAGGAAGCTCCTGTACCTCATCAGAGAGATGAGATACACAAGTTCCCCTCAAGAAACTCCAAAATATGCTAATAAACGCAGCACACTCAGGAGAGGGGTCTGTGCAAATTCCAGGCTCAAGATTCTTCCATTAAAATTTATAATTATTGTGTAGATGTACATATCATTATCATCATATTACATCAAGGGGAAAAAATAAGAAAATCCACATTTTCTTTTTACAGGACCATAGAATGGATGACATCAAGACATCTTAAGGTTTAGTTCACTATCTCACAACTTCCACATGCCCTGAGCCTTGTCTCCCACTGAACATCAGCCTCTCTTTCTACAAAGCATCACTTTCAGTTTCACCAAAACAAAGGATAGCAAGTCCTTGCCTTACTGAGTGGGGATTCAAATACTAGTGTCCATTGCTGACCCCATCCATGTTCTTGCCTCAAGGAAACTTAGAACATCAATGCTATTCCAAGGCAGGAAATATCCAGATTCCACTTATTTTTATAAAAGTACAAACCAGGCCTATTTCTGAAGCACTCCAGTCAAGACTTTTCGAGCCCTGTTGAGGGAGGAGAAAGCTTTCCCTGAGTGTATATGGGAAAGCACTGTTGGTGCAGCAGAGAATATTCTGCCCTTCACTCACAAGGAAAATTCAACACAAAACAACCCTGGCATACAGGAGGTGCACATTTCAAGAGCACCCATAGAAAAATTTGAAGGATAAGCCTCTTGCCCATAGGTAGGAAACTACAACAGCTAGTACGCTGCCCTGAGATACTCAAGTGGACAGAGTTGAGTATTTCATTTAGATCAAGGCCTGATGCTGGTTTGATGGTAATGACGAATCATCTAGCAATGAACTTTTGTTTCTTGAGAAGATCTATAAATGTGTACCAGTGGTCACCATGCATCATCAAAACTCTGAGCCATATTTATCCCCTTAAAATGAACTGTACTAGATGAAAACCCCATTGTGGACACTAAAACCCCAACATTCACTCTGGAACATTTCAGATACTCATAAGTATCTGAAAAAGAGAGAGGGCAGGAAGAGAGGAAGGCAGCCGCCAATACACAGCCTGTGCTGCACAGTGAATGAACACTGTGTGAGAAGGCTCCTGGTCTTCCACCACCTACTTTCACCACCCTCTGCACATGAAATCTTTAAAAAAAAATTATTCATTTATTTGAAAGGCAGAGTTACAGAGAGGAAGTGGCAGGGGGAGAGAGAGAGAGAGAGAGAGGTCTTCCACCCACTGGTTCACTCCCCAGATAGCCGCAAGGGCCGGAGCTGCGCCAATCTGAAGCCAGGAGCCAGGAGCTTCCTCTGGGTCTTCCCACATGGGTGCAGGGGCACAAAGGAATTAGGCCATCTTCTACTGCTTTCCCAGGCCATAGGAGAGAGCTGGATTGGAAGTGGAATAGCCAGCAGTCGAACCAGTGCCCATATGGGATGCCGGCACTGCAGGTGACGGCTTTACTGGCTACACCACAGTGCCGACCTCTGCATGTGAAATCTTAGGCAAATGATTTCACTTAACAGGAAAATGTTCATGATATACTTAACCCCCAAAGGCTGAATCTGATTGGGATCATTTAATGGAAGAAGTGCCAGGGACAGGCAGCCAAGAGAATTGGTTTCTAGTTCTATCCCTAGTAATAACTCTCAGGGTAATTTTGGGCAAATGACACCATCTTTCTCAGCCTTATCTGTAGAATGATATTCTGAATTAAATTAGACTTTCTCCAACTTTTCTTTTTCAGCTCTAATATTCTATAGGATACGATAATTATTTGGTATCCTTTCTAGGTTTGATATATATAATTCCTACACCTGTCCCTATATTTCACTTATTTATTCATTTAATTATTTTTAAGATTTATTTTATTTATTTAAAAAGCAGAGTTACAGAGAGAGAGGGAGAGACAAAGAGAAGGAGAGAGAGAGAGAGAGAGAGAGAGAGAGAGAGAGATACTCCATCGGCCGATTCTCTCCCCAAATGGCCGCAATGTCCAGGACTGGGAGCTTCTTCTGGACCTCCCATGTGGGTTCAGGGGCCCAAGCACTTGGACCATCCTCCATTGCTTTCCCAAGCACATTAGCAGGGAGCTGGATTGGAAGTACAGCAGACAGGACTCCAACTGGAGCCCATATGGGATGTTGGCGCTGCAGGCCAGCTACACCACAGCACTGGCCCCAGTTTTACCTATGTAAGGAAAACAGTTATCAAAGCCATAATCCAAGCCCAAAAATTTTTGTCACAGTTATAAGAAAGTTGCCATATAGGTTACTATTTTACTCTCATGCAAATTTTTCCCATTTGTCCAATTATGATACAAATTTATTAGAATTGCATGACACATTTTGGTGCATAAAAATTCTTACAATCTAGAGGCTTCTACCATTATGAAGGATAATGGTAGCCATATGAATATGAATCTTGTCATATATCCTACCCTCAAAGCCTATAAGGTTATTAAGCAACACAAAGTAGGGGCTAGTGCTGAGGCATAGCAGGTAAAGCCACTGCCCGCAGTACCGGTATCCCATATGGGTGCAGGTTCAAGACCCAGCTGCTCCACTTCCAATCCAGCTCTCTGCTATGACCCAGGAAAACAGTAAAAGATGGTTCAGGTCCTTAGGCCCCTGCATCCACGTGGGAGACACAGAAGAAACTCCTTGCTCCTGGCTTCAGATCAGCCTAGCTCCACCCATTTAAGCCATTTGGGGAGTAAACAAGCAGATGGAAGATCTCTCTTTCTCTCTCTGCCTCTGCCTCTCTAACTCTGTCTTTCAACTAAATAAATAAATCTTTAAAAAAGGCAGCTTAAACCTGAGAGTTGCTGTTTCTCAAATTATATATTAAAAAAAAGAAACACAAGGTAAATTATACATGACCCACATTGTCAACATAACAGAGAAAGAATATGACAAACTTCAAATTACTTATAAACAAAAAAATACATAATAAGTTAAAAGTCCAATTTGGATTTGATTGTGGTTACAATAAGCCTGAGGACATAGAGAGTAGGGAGAGGAGAAGGTTAACAGACTTTTTTTTCCTAGAAGGAAAAAGTACAATGCTAAGTGACCAAATATGAATACAAGTTGGTATTTGTTGATTCTCAACAATGGCCACACAGAAGGGACTCAAAAGCAAGCAACATCCAAAGTGGCATTAGAAAAGTGTCATTTGAAAAAGAGAATATAAATTGAAAATAGGTTGTGTTCCTCAGACATAGCAATGAAAGAAAAAGAAGAAACAGGTAAAACTAAAGATCCAGTAGACACACACTCAAAAAAAAAAAAAAAAACACAGATTAATCCTATTTTTTCACCTTTCCTCTCTACTATCATTATCATCTGTTTAAAATACTATATTTCCCACCGCCTGCAGTCCCAGCATGGGTGCCAGTTCGAATCCCGGTTGCTCCAGTTCCGATCCCACTCTCTGCTATGACCTAGGAAAGCAGTAGAACAGGCCCAAGTTCTTGGGCTCCTGCACCCTCTTGGGAGACCCGGAAGAAGCTCCTAGCTCCTGGCTTCAGATTGGCGCAGCTCCAGCCATTACAGCCAATTGGAGAGTGAACCAGCAGATGGAAGACCTCTCTCTCTCTCTCTCTTTTTCTCTGGTACTCCTTCTCTGTGTAACTCTGACTTTCAAGTAAATAAATAAATCTTAAAAAAAATACACTATTTCATAAAACCAAAAGGAATAAATATTCTTGAAATAATATTGCAGCCCATGAAGCTCCAAGTAATAGGAAAAATTAAACTTCATATAAAACTGCTGTAGGAAGAAAATATGAAAATGGAAATACAAAATTCTCAGCTGTTAAAAATTCTCATAAGATTATAAACTT